AGTCGCTACCGCCCCGGCCGCCGCTGGCTCCAGTCCGCCGCCATTATTCTTTGTTCGCTGCGAGCGGCGGCGATGTTGTGGGGCTCGGGCGGAGGCTCCATCTTTACCGCGGCCCCTCCTGCGAGGGGAAGGCCCCGAGCGCGGGTGTCCGGCGCCTCCCTGTCCCCCCTCCGTCCCCCCGGCTCTCTCCAGCTCCTGCCTCCTCCTCCTGCTCCTCTTACCGGTGGTACAAGCTCCTCCGTCACTGCTTTCGTTCGCGGCCCGGATCTCGCTGGAGTTTTATTCTCTCCCCCACGTAACACACCGCGTCAAACTACACCTCCGCCGCGTCACTCACCAACACTCCGCTTCTCCCAGCCGCCCGGGCCACAGGCAGCAGCAGCCGCCGCTGACTGAGGAGCCGCAGCCAGGGAGCCAGCCAGCGCCGCCCAGTGCCGAGTGCGCAGCGGCCACGCACGGAAACAGCCGAACTCAGGCGGGAGGAGCCCGAGCGGGTCCGCCCCGTGCCCTGGTCGCGGAACTTGCCGAAGGACTTCGGGCTTTTTCGGGTCAAGTAAAGGGATTTCTTCAGGAGCCGCCAAGCGAAGGTGAGCTGAGACTAGCGAGAAGGTGGGAGTGGTTAAGTCACACCGTATTGTTTCAGTGGCTCTAACCCGACAGCAGAAATTTGAGGAAGGAAGCTAGGTTTGTCTGTGACCCCGTGGGGAATTCCCGAAGCTGTCGAAGACCTGATGGAAACCCCCGCGCAGGCCTGCCTCTGCGGCGGTAAACCGAGAGCTCTAAGGCGGCCGCCCCGGGCCCAGCCTCGACTTCTGAGCGCCGCCGGTCCCGGGAACTTTCCAGTGCTGCCTGCAGAAGGGAGACGCGTCGCTCTGTGTGGGATGCGGCTGGAGTGCAGGGATCGTGAGACGCGAGAGGAAAAGGCAGTTGCCCCTCTGCAAATATCCCGGAGGCCTGCGGCGGGGCCGGGCGTTGAGACGCGCGACCACTGCGCGGCCTCGGAGGCCCCGTGGAGCCTCTTCGCGGAGAAGTTTTTGGCCTGCCGCCTTGCTCCGAGAATCAGCAGGACAACCTGGTGGCCGCCAGCCACCTGGGTTTTTGGAGGACAAGGCCGCCCGCCCCCGTTTGGCGGCGGCGCAGGTTCTCCTGGCACCTGACGAAGTTCAGCTCCACAGCGCGGGGCAGCCATCATCGGCCCTCAGACCTAGGCTGCCCCTCTTCCTCTTCGACGCTCTCTAACTATTCCCCCACCTGGCCGCCTTTCTTTAAGCAATATCCTGCATCGTTGTTTTTCCACAGCCCGTTTTCTGCGGCCGTGGTTTGCACCCATCACACCTCTTCACCACCCACCCCCGCTCTAAACCCGACAGTGTGACTTCCGTTGCCGAGAAACTATTGAAACTTCTCTTTCACAGGTTGTCCAACGCCATATTGCTGACTCTCATATCTCCTTTTTATTTAGCTCTGCAGTCGTTTCCCTGGGCTGCTAAAAAAAAAAAAAAACCACCAAAACCAAACTCACTGCAGTAAAGTCGGATCCGACTCGTAGAGACCACTCACTCCCTGGGTTTCCAAGGCGGTATCACTACCCCCAAGATAGATCTATTATTCTCTTTCTGTCCCTTAAGGCAAACATACTACTTGGAAGCTGACAGAGGGTTCAAATCTGGGCTTTGCCACCTATTGGCTTCCTGTTAACAAAGAAAGAGTTGCCCTTCCTTGAACCTGTAGGCTTTATTCCATCGCGTCCTACCTTCTCTGGAACTTTGGAGCTGGAGACTTTCTGTATATTCAGTGTTTCCATCTTAACTGTCTCTTTCCCATCATTTAAATATGCATAAGTCTCACTTCTTGAAAAAGATTTTTCACCTCCCCACAACCCTCTCCAGCCACGACTCCACCTGTGTCCTGCCTTACTGATGCTCATATCCTACTTCTCAACACTCTTAAGAATCTTCGGTCTAGATTCTGACCCTATCACACAACTGCAGCGGCTCTGAATCCTCACTACATCCAGTGGGCAGTTTTCAGTCCTCATCTTCTAAGACCTTATCCCAGCATTTGACACTACTGACCACAGCCTCTCCCAAAAATGCCCTCCCTTCTGTCCAAAGTTTTCTTCTTAATTCTCTGATTACTGTTTAACATTTGTTGTTTGGTGCCATTGAGTGAGCTCCCATTCAGCAACCCTGTGTACAAGAGAACTAAACAATGCTAGGTCCTGCACTATCCTCACAATCCTTGCTGTGCTTGAGTCCATTGCAGTCACTTGCTGAGGGTCTTCCACTTTGTTGCTGACCCTCTCCCTTTCACAAGTAGCGTCTCCTTTATCCAGCCCTGAAATACCGGAATCCTGCTGAGCTGAGCCCTGGCCCTCTTCTTGAGTCCTACTATACACACTTTCCTAAGTGGTCTCATCCTCTCCCATTGGCTCCAAATACCCTCTACTTCCCAATCCATTGCTCAGGCCTAGATCTTATTATTGAATTCTAGATTAATATTTCCAACTGTCTGTGGTAGACTTTCATTTGGATGGCTGGGGCACATCAAACTAACTCATATACTGTACTTCCTCCACAACCCTCTTCCCATAATCCCTAGACTCAGTAAAGGGTACCCTAGCTAGCAATACAGTTCAAGCCCAAAACCTGGGACACTTGACATGTTAGAATCATTCAGACTGTCTGCCTCCTAAATAATCTCTTGAGTTTGTTACCTCTTGCCATTCCCATTGTGATTTTTTTCATTCCTACTGTAGTCTAAGCTACCTTCATCTCTTGCTTGAAGACCTGCAAAGGAAAGAGAAGTATGTGGATATAACTTGACAGTGGTATTTCTTGAAAGAGGTCCAGAAAAGAGGGAATATCCCATGAGATGGTTTTAAAAAGCTTCAAGGAGAAAGTGGTATCTGAGAGCTTTTCTCTAACTACAATTATTTTTCCTGTTCTTTTCTCTCTTCCACTGTTGAAACTAATTTTCATTCTCATTGTGAACTTTCTCTTTGAAGCTTTTTAAAACCATCTCATGGGATATTTCCTCTTTTCTGGACCTCTTTCAAGAAATACCACTGTCAAGTTATATCCACATACTTCTCTCTCCTTTGCAGGTCTTCAAGCAGGAGATGAAGGTAGCTTAGACTACAGTAGGAATGAAAAAAAATCACAAGAACCCTTCCTATCCTTTCAGTTCATCACTTCTTATGACTTGATTTGCTTTCCTACCTAGCCTCAAGGCCATTGTATTTATTCCAAAAAAAAAAAAAAAAAAAATTATTGAGCCATGCACTGTTCTAGAAATGGATACAGCAATGACTAAACTGATTGTCTCTATTTCAAAGATGCTAAAATCTTCAACATTTCATCTTCCTGATATTTCCCCCTTTATTTATGCTCAGTTCTTTGAGCACTCATCCAATGTCATGTTTATAAACACCATGTGTATGCTGACAACTCTCAAAATTATATTTTGTCCTCCAACTACTCTCCCAAACTCCAGACTCATATAAGCAACCATCTACTCGCTCTCCACTTGGATGTTGTTTTAGCCTGGATTCTCCCAGAAAGCAGAACCTGAGGCAAAAGTTTCTGTGCTCTTATTTTATTAGGGAATACCCCTTCCCACTTCTATTTTGTGTGGGTACCAAACAGACCTCATGTGAGATTTGTGGCCTATACATAAGGCAAACCACTATAGAATTGTCCCTGCCTGAGGTTGTTTGCCAATGGCCATGGGGGCAGAATTAACTGACATCTTAATATTGATGTGTCCTAAGGACTTCACATATTAGCAAGGCCAAGAGGATCTGAGGGGCCATCCACATCTTAACAGATGTTTCAAACTCAACGTGTCCAAAACTGAACGGATGTTCCCCTTCACAGCTTCTGCACCTACAGCCCTTCCTATCTTAGTTGCTGAAGTTAAAAATCTTGACTTAATTCTTAGTGTATTCCTTTCTCTCACACCCCACATCTTTCAGGAAATTTTTATTGGCTGTATCTTCAAAATATATCCTCAAACTAATTCTCATGAATTCCACTGTTAGAGAGCCAGGTCTACAATACCTTCAATCTCTGCCTACGTTACTGCAATCACTTCTTAAAAGGTCTCCCTACTTGCTGTGATCCCTACAATGATTTTTCAACACAAAACTTACAGTAATTGTTTTAACATGTAAGTCAGGTCACGTCACCCTTTTGCTCAAAATCTGTAGTGGGCAGATTTTCATTCAGAGTAAAAACCCATATCCTGATAATGGTCTCTGAGACCCTAAATAATCTAGCTTTCCTAGTATCTCTCTCAGCTTCCCTCCTCCTAACTCTCCTGCACTTGGTTGCTTACTACATCTACATTTCCCTCCTTATTTTTCTTCAGACATACCACCATACTTCTGCCTTAGCATCTTTGGACTGTACCAGTGATTAAAATGTTCTTTTTCCAAATATCCAGAGAGTGACTCCATCACCTCCTTCAAGTCTTTGCTGAAATGTCATTTCTCACTGAGACCTTGACTATAGTATTTAAAAGTACCTGATCCCATCTCAGTCTTCTGGAATCCCATTACGCTGCTATACTTTTTTCCTTTAACACATAACACAAATCTATTGTACTGATTTATTTTGTTTGTTTGTTAATTGTCTTCCTGCTAGAATATGATTTCTAGGAAGCAGTTTTGTTTTGTTAACTGATGCATCTCAAGCACCTGAAATTATGTATCAACATAGTGGAAGCATTCAGTGTATGTATTTGTTGAATGAGTTTTCAGCTTGCCTCTCCCCAGTCTTAGGTGCTCACACCATTCAGATTTATTTTCTTGGTTACTGTTCTAGTTAAAATTTGGAGATATGTGATAGGTTCCCTTACTTGGTAAGATTTTCTTCAGTCTTAATATTGGACATATCAAAAAAATATTGCTTAGCTAAGAATCAATTGGGAGCTCTGGTAGCATAGTGCCTAAGGCACTTGACTGCTAACCAGAAGGCTGGAGGTTCAAACCCACCAGCCACTCCTTGGAAGGAAGATGGGGCAATCTACTTCCATAGTGATACTGCCTCGGAAACCCAAGGGGGGGTTGCTATGAGTCGGGTCTGACTCGAGGGCACATAACAACAAAAATAAGAATCATTTGAAACCCTCAACATCTCTCTATTTACAATAGAAAAAATAATCCTGAATGGTCCAAATGACCCCACTACTGCATAGTTAACTACTTAATTTATTTTCATCTGTTTATGGCCAGACTTCGTCTCACCTACTTTGGTCATGTTTTTAGAAGGGACCATTCCCTAGAGAAGGATATCATGCTTGGTAAAGTGGAGGGTCAACAAAAGAGGGGAAGGCCCTCAACAAGATAGATTGACACAGTGGCTGCAACAATGGGTTCAAGTATAGCAAGGATTGTGAAGCTGGCA